TTAGTCTTAAAATTTTTATTTGGAAAAATAGTAGTTTTTATCGAAAAGTTGTATGCTGAATTGAATTTCTGCGAGAACTATATTCTTATAGGCTAAAAAAAAAAAATTAAACTCTATTTGATTTATTGAAGGCAACGTATTCGGTCGAGGATAATCGTGAAAAAATTGTTTTGGTAAAAGTATATTTTTAAAAAATCCTAACCTAAGTATTAACACTAACTTTTCAAAGTCAAATTCTGGTTGCATTGTAAAATCATACTCTTTTAAGTGAATTTCTGCAAAAATATGTGTGCTTGCTGATGTGAAATACAATATCCACTTTGGATATCTAGGTCGATGGTGGGGCAGGGACAGGACACTACCGCTTGCCTGTTTACGGTAGGATTTTCCGATCCTTGCGGAAATTGGGTCAGTGTATTCATTTGCATCAACTTGTCCGAGAAGCGTTGACTGGAAACATTGAGGTTAGAACTACTTTTGTCTCTCTATGAGTCCTTCAACTATGAATTATAGATCCCAAGGCTGAATTGGATTATATTTATTTATAAACATAGGAAAACGTCATTCAGCATTAGAGAGAAATACTTTATTTAAAGCAGTGCTGCCCCACTATATAGGGTTGCTCGATACACAGCATACTCATCAATCCTTCTTTTTTTTTGGACATACAAATTAAATACAAATTCTTTTTCATCTTACACAGCACAAACTATATCAATACTATAATAGACTAATACATATAATTAAAATTATACAATGTAATATATATACATATTTCGGTGAAACCGATACAAGACAATTTTTAAAATTTATAGGGCAAAGAAAAATATAGTATTCGAATGCAAAAGTTTTAACACGAGAAAATTAGAACGCACGCACAGCAAGTAACATAATCCTATGAACATAGACAAAAAGATCTGGTCAACAGTTGTTTTTCAAAGAATAGTAAAAATAGTTCCACAAATCGATGAAAGTGATACATAAATTTCTTTAATGAAGAATTTTAAATATATAAAATCAAATATACATAAAACTAGCACTCCGACGTACGAACATATAATCAACAATCCTTCTTATTTTGAAAAAAAATCGAAAAATAAAATGGTCTAATAAAATATTGTACCGTTGGACCTATATAACATTTTGACATGGTGGCTGTTGAGGTAACGTCAAAAGGCCCAATACTTTTGTAGGTTATCTTTTTTCTCGATTTTGAGATCCAGTTAACTTACGATTCAAGTGGAAATCAAATGGGGGTTCACAAAAGATGAAGCCGTTCACGAAGTTTTAGATGGATTTTAATAATTTGATAAAAAGGGGTCTGTACCGATGATTATAAAATTTACAAGTCTTTATGAAAAATCTAAAAGAGCGGCTTGTCCAGATGAAGTTTTAATATGGTGATTATCATAAAGGAACAATTGGTATGAAACTTCAAAATATTTAAATCAGAATATAATTGATTCTCACTATTGCCAGGTTACATTGTACTCGTATATAGGTCATAATCGTATGTATATATATAAATTACGGAAAACTTCTGACACGCCATATCTTTTGCAAGTGATATAATATATAAGAACTATTACTAAAATTTCTGACAATTCCAAAAGAAAATTGCTATAATTTTAACCAAAGATTGACTTACAACATGAATCCATTGACAGAAATTCTTAAACGTTGAACGAACCTCTAAAGCCTACTAAGTCCAACAGTGTTGTCAAGAGACCCCTATATCCAGAGATGGGCAAAATCGTAATCAATGGTTACAAGATAACAATTAAAAATAAAACATAATGACCTCGTCAATTTTAAACTTGATACAATAGCATTATAAATATAGCAAAAGTATGAAACGATTACCTGATTGCAATTATAATCATAAATCTGATTCGATATATTCGAACGGTGAAAAACCAAGTATCCATTCACGAGTTAAAAAAGGAAAAGCGAGTGAAAATTCGGAAAAATTTGTTCCACTATTATTACCACTGGCCTATTTCTAAACATTTATAAAATTGTTGGAACGGTGAAAAACCGAGCATTCATTCACGAGTTAAAAAAGGAAAAGCGAATGAAAATTCGGAAAATTTTCTACACCATTTCCCCATTTTCACATACCTCTATATAGCCGGAAAACTATTTGAATGGTGAAAAACTATTCCTTCATTCCCGAGATAAAAGAGGCAAATCAAATGAAAATTTGTACCAATTCTGTTTTCACAGGCATATTTATAAACAGTTATAACATTATTGGAACCGTGAAAACCGTTCATCCATTCACGAGATTAAATAAAAGAGGGAAAGTGAATGAAAATTCTGAAATTTTTTTACACCAATTCTCCATTTTCACCCACATCTATAGAGTCGGAAAAGTGCTGGAACGGTGAAAAACCGAGCATTCTTTCATGAGATAAAATAAAAAAAGCGAATGAAAATTTTAAACCGGTGTTATAGAAATTGCTCCGGAATAATAAAAAAAATAGAAAATGTTGGTTAGAAGAACTGAGCCTATCCCTAAACTGAGGAAAATAGTGTGTATTTGATCTTTTGATTACGATTACGCGATTATGAGTACATGATAAATATGATAATAAATAATAATAATAGTATTTAGAAATAGAATTCTCAAGGGAAAAGCATGAAATTGAAATACGAAGTTTTGTGTCAGAAAAATACTTCGAAAGTGACTTCTTTGATTTTTGAAGGTCAAATCAAACATTCAACCTCATTTTCTTCATAGCTATGGATAAGTAGGATCATGGTTTTGCCTTTTGACCTATTATTCACAGATGTCCTTGTATTTTATTATTGACTGAGCCCATAATTCTTTTTAACTCTCGTGGTTCCATACATTTAATTTCATTTCACAAAAATGTAATTGTAGCAACTATGATATCATTTGTTCAGTACTTTATCATTTTTATTTTTGTTGCACTACGATGTAAATTTAAATTTAGACCAAGACCAATAGCGTTAATAGCATTTTCAGCATAAGCATAAGCCAGAGTGAATAAGATCCCGTATGTTGAATTGTCAGCAATATGAGTGCCTAGTGTTGTAGTAAGGATTTAGGTGAAATTTACTGCGGTATCGTCTGATGCCTTCAATTATTTTATTCCTTCTTAATATTTGTAAAAGACCGATTGTTGGTTTACCAATTGAGTAGCCAGCTCATTAATCTCGTAAACTGAAATGTAAATCTAATTAATAGCTATTATAAAAAAATTGTTGAAATTACGAATTTTATTTTTATCTTAAGCAAAATTGCGAAGAATCGTAACGCTTTATGCCAACTTAAAAAAAAATTACCAAAAGTTTTTAAAATTTTCTGCCCGATGTCTTAGGGTGAAAGAATTAAAAAAAAAATATACGATCCCATTTAGTTTATATTTAAGAGTTTTAGGTGTATCGTATTTTGGACATAGAAATTTTTATACAAATCGAAATAGTATGTGAATATTTCACTGATTTATGAAGTCTTAAAATTTTATATTATGACTTGAGATATTTAATAGTAAACTACGAGAATAGTAACTATTTCTAAAATTATGTTTCGGTAAAGAAGAAAGTGAGTTAGTTTGTATGTAGAAAAATATATAAGGGGAGGGAAAGGGATGTAGAATGCTGATAAATGAATGAAAGAAATTGTCAAAAAAATAAATTAATATATAAAAAAGAAAAAAAATATAATATAAATAAAATATAAAAAATAATATATATATATATATATATATATATATATATATGTATAATATTGTATTGTTAATACTATATAATTGCATATTGGTTTTAAAAAATTGTTTGTAGTGATTAATAAGTATACTGTGTTTGAAGTAACCCAATGTAATTGGGCAGCACCCTTTTATGAAAATAAAGTGATTCTCTCTCGCTTTTTTTTTACTAATATACTATCTCTTAACTCTGTCCTTCATAAATGTCTTTAAAAATAGTAGTAAAACTATCTCTTCATTTAACTTGCTATTTAAATTTAACTTTGAAAGCGATGAAATCGTTATAATATATAACAATTCTATGAGCGTGCTTCATTGAAGAATGTATGTCGAAATTGTCCCTTAGTGAAATAATTAAAATTCGGAATGCTGAATATATGTCTTTGATTCTAGTGATAATTTGCGTTATGCTTTAATAATCGTAATAACTGGTGTCGAAATAAAAATGTAATAAGATCAGAATAATAATTATATCAGCCAAGATTATCAGCAATAATTTATAAAAACATATATATTTTTTTATTAATAATATTCCAGAAATCCATTACTTTATGCAAAACAATAACTGTTTAATTTATATTTCTAGTCCTAGGTGAACAAAGAATGTACGATATGAAAATCCTAGAAAATTGAGTCAGTTTCTTTACAATCATAATACTTGTAGAGCTCAGTCCATTAACCCAAGATGAAACGATTAAAACACAGGGGAAGAATTTCCAAGGTTAATGAATTTACAAGAACTCTATAATATTCAGAACATTGTGATAAATTTGAGATTTTAATTACAAACTGCTAAACTAGAATTAAAATTCTAATAACCATAATTTATTCTTTTCTCAAAGTTTTAACAAAACTGCCTTTGCAACAGTTTGTTAATGAATACTACGAATTATTTTTTATGATGGGGTCCAATTCTATTTTTTAAATATTTAGATAGGTTGTTAATAGTATTATTATTTTTAAAATTAAATGTTTTAAAATATAAATATTTGTAATAGTTGCGATTAAAAGTGTAGATTTTTTTGTCTCAAAGATTCGTAAGAAATTGAGAAAATTATGTAAAATAAAAAATTCACTTAAAAATAATTTGTTATTTAAACACTGACTAATGCACCGAAAGTAAATTTAAGAATAATTTTAGGAGTCTGCTATAACTCCTATAAAAATTCCCCTCTGCTTACCGAGCACCCTGTATAATTTAAGATAATCATTGAATCTAAACTAAACAGATAAATAAAAAATCCTGAGCAACATTTTTGCTAATGTTTAATATAAATTATGATCACTCACCAGACTTTGGGGCTCCCCCCTGACGTAGCAGGTGGCCATGTCGGCCCAGGCAGGGTCGCACTTGGACCAAGGCACTTCCGAGTCGAAGGAAGCCACCATGTAAAAGACGGTGTACGACATGATCACGTTGTAGTAAATGCATACAATCAGAGAAACTGTGATCATGGCGCATCCCACTCCTGAAAAGTGAATTATAGTATAAGTACAAGGTTCTTTCCGATTATAATTTAATAAATAAATAACCTGTGATAGGATTCTGATTAGTGTTGCCCAAATGCGAGACCGAGACGAACCTTGGTCTTGCAAACTCAGTCTTGGTAATGGTCTTGGTCTTGTTCAACAATCTCGCAACAGTCTTGCAGTTACTTATTAGTTTATTGCTATACAGATATGTCTGTAATTTTTTAGATAGGAGAAACCTAACTAAGCCTGAATGAAAAATTAGAGGAGTTAAATGCAAAAGTATATTGGTTATACTAATTTTTAACATATAGTAACTAAGATCGTCAAGTATTAGTAACTATTTTGCCTTTATTTTTATTTTAAAAAATGATTTTTTTTTTACCAGTCCTGGTCTTGGTCTTGCAACAGTTAGCAATACTAATTCTGATAAATAGGATTCTGAATAATTTAGGCTAAATTATTAAAATTGGTAGGAAATCATCAATCGGTCATCAATCATGATCCAGAAAGATGTAAAAAGAAATTTCATGAAGGAATTCATCAAAAGATCATTAAAATATAATAAAAAGCTACCACTAACTAGTTTATACGCTTCATAGCGTATTCTTAATAAAATTAGCGGTAATTCTTAATTTTTATATTTTGCTACAATAATTTCTTTTCACTAAATATTGGAATATAATTATATTAGGTTATAAGAAATTAAGATTAACAATGATTAATAATATTATAAGCTAGAACCATTAGCAATATATTTATGGTAAGATAAGTATTCTAGTTGCATCAAATTATTGGTGTTACAATCTCACGCCCTTTATTCGGTCCGAAATCATTTGCGGAGCTCATTATTCAACAGAATAATTTCGTTTAACCCTTAATTAAGATGATTGATCGATTAATTGATGAAGAGGGTTGTTCTTTTTCAACAAGGACTTTTTTCAAGCTCCGGGTGGCTCGTATTACTCAGAAGTTACCTGATAATTACTACTAACATTGATAAAATAATTTGTCTAAAATTGATCTTTTTTTAGTTATGAAAACTTGGTTATGCCCCCATACTTTTTTTTTATTGTAATACAGATAAAATTAGTTTTTCATCGTCTTAATCCGGAGACTGGAATGTGTTCAAAATTATTTTTGCTTTTAAAACAAAATATACTGCAAACTATTTTATTAAAAGTTATTATTATTTAAAAAGTAAAAATTGCAGAAGTAAAATATATTGTTATACCTTTAAATGTGTTTCTAAACATATAGTCAGGAACATTATTTTTGTTTTTAATATTCTATTAAAAAGACGATTTCAACAAATCTGGCATTTTCGGTTTTCTTCTTTTTTTCTTTCTGTTTAAAATTAAAATAATTAATGAAGCAATTAAAACCAATATTTTAAGTGAGTTTAGCAAGTCTAATTTAAGGATTGCTTAATTCATAAACAACTAATTTTCCTGATACTCGAGAAGAAAATTAAAATCTCTTCAGAGGAACAATTTCCTGAAAAATTAAAATAAAATAAGGAAAAGCTCTCTCCATCGTTTTTAAGATAATAATTACTAATAACATGGATATAATTCAGATATATTATATTGTTATAGAAAAATTGTTAGTTTTATATAAAAAATTTGATTTGTTGCAGTCATGTTTCTTAATTACATACTTATTTTTTTGGCTCATAGCGTATAGAAAGACCGATTTATTTAACATAACATTTTACAAAGCATTCAGTAAAATGGTTTCGAAAATTCTAGAATAGTTACTAAATTAGGGTACAGGACGAGATGGCCGAGCACGTTAGGTTCCAGAGTGCCCGATTTTGAACATCGTGGGTTCGATTCCCATCTCAGTTGGTTAAATTTCATTTCTCGGCGGGCCACATTGGGGCGAGCTTAAGGTTTCTTGGACATCCGCTCCAACTTACTCTGAAATTGCAGTATATTGCTCAAATTTTATCTGTTTATGTTTTTGAGGGTATTGAATTTGAACTCAAGCCATTCAGTCAACCAGATGCATTAAAAAACGAAATAAAAAAAATATTAATTTGTATATTATTTTAGTAATATTTTTTCTGTTATGTTTTTACATATGAAAAGTTATCTGAGCACATATGAAATATTACTGTTACACCACTATCATCTTCGAGTACAAAATAATTATAGATCAAATAAAATACTACACACATTTAATTATATAAATGGAATTTGATTAAACAAAAATTTTCAGCTCACTTTTAGAACTCAAACTTTTCGCTTCCTGTGCTATTGTGCATTTAATCAATTCCTAAACTTGATATGATGAAATGGGAATTTATTATCAGAACTTTACAGATGTTTCTGCTAATATTAATCACTGACTAAATAGATCTATAGGAACTATAGAAGTTCAATATGTGAAGTGATATAGTTACTAATTTTTTTTCGTTGAGTGCCAAAACCAAAATGTTGTATTTATTCAAATGTTACCAATATTTTCAATATATACTTTTCATGTAATGTCTTTACGAAATTGTATTCTTCTTTCAGACTTCTGTCAATGGGCGTTGATCCGTATTTATAAATGACAAATATCATGTGTCTATTTCTAAGATTTACGTTTTTATGAAAATAATTGAAGCAGTCAGAGTGTTTTTGTTTTGATCGTAAATTTTAGATACGGATCAATTCTTATGACAGAGATCTGGAAGAAAAACACAGTTTTTTATGGAATTTAAATGAAAAATATTTAAAAATCATTATTATTTTTTTTTAATTTATAAATAAAAAGTGTATTTTGGCAAATTATATTTATTAAAATGAATTCTAGATCATAAAAAAAAAAAACAGAAATAAAAGCTTTGCAACAGATAATTGTCATATTATCTGAAAACAGGAGCTCTATTAGGACACTGGATAGAAGTTGACATAGTTCTGTACACAACTTGAGGTAAAACTCAAGAATTTGCCAAATAAACCTCAATTTAATTATTATAGACTTGAAGATTTTTAAACGAAAAAGTTTTTCTAAAAGTGGGATATCCGTAGTACACTTGGATAATGATAAAAAAAAAAATCGGCAATAATTTATGATGTTTTTAAAAACCGTATTTAGCCAGGTTTAGTCGCTCAAAAGACCTGTTTTAATGGTTTTAACAATGACAAACTCTCTTTTAATTTGGAGGAAATTTTATCTAGTTTACAGTGAAACAATTGTTAATTACTTAAATTAAATATTTCTTTAGTTATTGTTTCCTATTCATCAAAAAGCACGACTAACTTAAAAACCCACTAAACTTGGATTTCCTAGTTTTCTGCTGTAAACTGGCCCACTGCTTATATGAACTTTTTTTGTAGGAATTGAGGTCTGCTATTAATCCTATAAAAATCTCACTTCACTTATTGGCCAATCTGTATATTGTTTAAATGGCTACTTATCTTTACCACTAATGCATATTGCTCTTGGATGTTGCAGAATGTATATTCTTCAATAAAGAAACATATAGGTCCCCTATGCCCCACTTGCGGAATACCAGAGACGGCTGAGCATGTTATCGTCAACTGCACCGCGTTTGATGGACTAAGGGCCGAAATGATAAGAAAAATTGGAGTCTATGGCCTCACGGAGGATGAATTTCCCGAGTTAGTGACGGAATAGAATTACCCGTACTACAAAGATTTTGTGTACGGGTGGAAAACTGCTCTGGGGCCCTCCCACTTTAATCTGAGAAGAAGAGGACTTGCTAATTGAAGGCCGCCAGGCTAATATGGTGAAGATAATAAAAAAAGGAGATATTTCAAAAAATAAAATAAAAAATTTAAAATTAATTTGGGGTTTAATAGCAGGAATGGCATGCACGTGTGTGATATGCCATCACTGCAAAATCCTTAGCCGAAAGGCAAGGAAGGGAGGCATAAATAAAATAAATAAATAATAAAGAAATATAGATGGATAACAAATCTATGAAAGATAATTTGCTATTAACAACTATAAAATTAAATTATTTTATATAAAATTATGTTTTATGGATCAAAATAAACGTGAATGGTTGTATATTCATTGTTATAGAGATATTTACTAAGTACATTAATATTCAGTTACCTTAATATTTAGTCGATTTTGTTTCGTAGAATAATAATCAATTTAAATTATTACGAAAAGTAATAAAACGAAAGTAATTTCACATTTTCGTTGTTACTTATGTTTAAGTATTCATTACATTCGACAGCATTGAAAAGATAGTAGTAAAGCTGGTATACTTGGTTTAAACTGAGCCACATTCTTTGTAGATCAGTTTTCCCTCCAGCGTTATCCCAAACATACTCCAATACTATATTAATCCTCATCGCTCCGGAGTAATCACAAAACATGTCAATGACTGGTCCTTTATTGATATATGATAAAAAAATATGTAAAATAAGGAAACTCTTTTGAAACTGGGATATTTACCTTTGGCGATGGGACAACAGTTCCAGAGAGCCAGAGGCCCAACTCCTGAGAACTGGCCAACTGCCAACTCGAGGAAGTACATCGGCTTGCCGGCCAAGATCAGCATTACCAGGTATGGGATGAGAAACGCTCCTGTAACAAGCATATATAGATTTAACTTTAACTTAAAAAAATGAATGAAAAATTTAATCGACTAATATAAGCTTGAATTTAATATATATCAAAACGATATAATCCTAAAAATACTTTTACGCCTGTAACTGCTTATACAATTCCTGTAGAACATTTCAAAGTCTCAATTTGATTTATTATTTATTAAGATACCATCATATTTTAACCGGATTAAAAATATTTTATCCCTTAAGTCAACTGAAAACTTATATTCCAATGTACGGCTCACAACGTATCTTAAGCTACATGTTAAACCTAAAATTAGGGGGCAATATTGAAAATCCTATTTTATATTTAATACACTAATAGATCAACTTGAACGCAGAGATCGTCCATATCAAGTATACAGCAGATGATTTATTTTAAAAAGTTAGTCATGAGTGAAAAACCTCGAAAAATCTGTGATGTCTTGATGACCACTAATGGTACAAAACTTTCTACAATAATTGCTTTAGAAATAATTTAGAAGTATAATATTTAATTATACATAAATAGTTGTACATTTTGTTTTCGATAGGCTTTTCTTTTAAATTATTTTGGTATGGTTGTGTGAAGTATTTGTTTTTGTATATACCCAGTTTCATATGTTTTGTTTCGTAGTGTATCGCTGGTACATTTTAAATTCTTTCGGAGCACTCCTCAGTTCTGTTTCATATTTATTTTTTATTTTTAGCGATATGACGAATATCAAAACATACAATATTAACATATATATTAAAATAAAAAAGTGGATATTTATTAAAATGAATATGTAAATAGGTAATATTTAATCATCCTTATGTATACCTAATATTTATACTTAAAATACTTATATTCAACGTAGTAAGCAGGTCGTTTTACGATTTTTTGATGTGATTATATCATATTTTTATTATTTTGAACGATAAAATCAGGAGTATTTTCGTAAGCCACGTTTAGAAATATTGAAAACATTGCAAAAGATATATAAATAGTTTTTGTCGTTTTAAATGAAAATTAGTAACATTGTTAATTATCATTTACTCCTCAAGCCTTAGACAAATTTGTAAGGCAACGTATGTCGCGCGAAAATGACTTATCTTCCATTAGAATTAGTACGAAAAAATGATCTCATCTGTCATTTACATAATTTTGTCCATGATGTGATGGTATTGGTCCATTCTGTGGCATCCTCTTCTGCTCAGATCAATACTTTGGCCAGTATTGTCTCATTATTCGTTCATAATAAGGACTACCAAGGCATATGATATTGAGCTACGGTATTTAATCAATAAACCGAACTGCTCATTACACAATAATCTATATATTTCTTTTTCATTATAGGTATAAACAGTTATCCTTAATATATATTGCCCCTAGAAAAAATCGACCAGTTTATTGAATGACCCAATCAATTAGATATCTTAAGGGAGGAGTGATGGATGTCTCAGGCTCTCTATTTTAAATGACCATATGAATGAACGATTGGATCTGTGAGCATGTACATACGATTTACTACGGGTTAATAGTACATCTAAGTTTTTTTTCAAATATTTTATTTCCACCTGTAAAATATTACAATCAGCAAATGAGCTATTATACACTATACATGGCATAGGTGTGTGGGGGCGGGGTGGCCGAATGGGCTAAAGCGTGTGCACAGCACCGTGAGTTGCCTGGCAACCGGATTACAGATTTGAGAAGATTTAAAAAGGCGTCCCGGTGCCGGAGGGAATTTTAAATTCCCCGCCCTCACGCCCCGGCCCGGAAAAATCCCGTTTAGCCTAAAAGGCGAGGTAGGGAAGTACAAAAAAAAAAACATGGCATAGGTGGTTAGGGTAAATTAAATGAGGGTAACAGCATCTAGCGATATTTCCTCCTGAAATTTAGCGAAATTTTAGTGTCATACAAGGAGATCCCTCATCCAACTTCTTTTTAGCTTTTGCCGAGATATGTCAGAAATGTTATTTGTAGCCATATGCCTTAATATATTGATATGTACATATCTTAATAGGCCCCTTACATATTTTCCAGAAAACAAGCTGAAAAATGTTACAATAAATTCAATATTTTATTTGACGATAACTAAAAAGTACAGAATTTTTGACTGATAATACAAAAAAAAATTATATGAAAGATTTCTGAATTGCTGACAAAATAAAAAAAAAACATCGAAATCGGACGGTTCGTTGCAAAGTTACAGAGTTTTAAACATTTACTGCTTTCTCTTCAGAAAAGGCCATTTCCTTTTGCTTCTTCACTACCGAAGGTAGGCAAGCATTTTTTTTTATTTTATTGATTAATCAATTAATTAATAAAATTTTATAATTACTACAGTAATTGAAATTATCATTTGAAGAAGTTATATGATTCTCCTTATGTAGGTCAATACTATTATAAGTTCTTTATATTAATTTTTTATTTTAGTTTTATAAGTTCAACTCAGACTGTTTCTGATGATTATGAATGACGGCGTATTCACTCAGATGATTATGAATGTTCAATTTGAATTATGAGAAAAAAAAAACATTAGAATTAGTTTAAATTGAAGCTATTTTACAGACAAATTTGTTTCCCAAATTTTTAAAAATGACAGATGTCCTTTGGTATTAATCTACTCGTATGTGCTTTCTATTTTCTTTCTTTTTCATTTTGCCAGGCTAAGCCACAGCAGCGCGTGGCCGGGTAAAGCTAGTATATTTCATAAAAATAAGAGCTCGTATCCCGTGCTACTGGAATTTAACGCGATTAAGTGCGCCTGATGTATTAACTGGATCGATAATACAGTATATTTTTATATAGAGGCAGCTGAAGGACCTCGGTTGGGGCACCATACACTTTTTTGGGTGGTTATCCGTCGTCCAGCTTTTTCGGGTCGTTTCCGAATTTCGTCAAAAGGGATTTAAGCACTGATTGGTATTTTTCAAGATGTTACCTTTAGCTAATTCTTGCTTAGCATTTTTATAGTAACTCATCATATGCAACCATATTTTCTATATGATGACAACACTATAATAAAAAAAAATGCCAAAAAAAAATTACTTCTAGAAATAATTAAGGACTTGGGTTCAGCACTTTTTAACGAAGTGATGTTTCTTGGTCAACGATTGTGCTAGGAGGTGATTTGATAAAGATCACAATCAACCGTCAGATTTTCTTTTCAATTATTTATTTAAATAAGATTATCCGCTCGCTAGGTCGACCCAAATATAATAGAATAAACAATTACCTGTCACAGCCGGACTTGAACCTAGGACCTGGAGCATTGAAGCACAATGTCTTGCTCATTGAGCTACCCACATTGAAACCAGTGAGTTGCTGCTATGTAATTCAGTAACAAGACAATTTTGAATAGCAACAACATTGCCTAAAAAAAATTTTATTTTTAAAAAAGCTGATGAGAAAATGTATATTATCATCCTCAATGTTATAAATGATAATACCAAGGTCATGAGTTATGCCTTCGTGTTATTTTATTTAATTAGCTAATGCGCGTGGAAAATACAATATTTATATGTTGTATCATATATATAAGTCATTTACTTAAATTATGCTGTTTCGTTAGATAGACTACAATATCAGTACCATGATGATTTGAAAAGACGGCATCACATTTTTATCCTTACTGTGTTAAGAGAGCAATCAAATATTTGTAACCCTAAAAAGTAAAATTGGAAGGTTTTTTGTGATTTTCCATTTGAACTGTTCGATGGAAATTTATGAACAAAATGTTTTAAAATAAAAACTTTAAAAGAATTTTTTTTGTAATAACTATTTAAGTGTTAACTTAAAAAAATCAATGCTTCTTCTTAACTGACTTTTGTTATTTTTTGTTTCTTCAGGTTTTGTGTTTTCTTTCAGAATATTTATATATGGTATATATTTTTTGTTCTCTTTACTCAAATTATAAATATCACTAATCTTGAGAAGATTCTATTTTTATTTTTCAGTATTTAGAATTTATTTTTAAATTACTGTATATTTTATAATTTTTGTATTAATTTAGCCCGTTGTTCATGTTTTTAACACCAAACATATTTTTTCTTTTGTCCAGGTTTTGATTTTTCTTTCCGTGTATACTGTTTCTGTTGTTTTCGTTTCTGACATTACAACTATAACGATTATTAAAAGGTTATTATTTTTTTTTTTAGTTGTTTACATATTAGTATTTATTAATTATTATTATAATTACTGTATATATTGTTACAATTTTTATTCAGTTAGTTTTTGGCTACATATGTATTTTTACTTTCACTTACGTGTATATGAAATATATAGTAAGTATTGCGATCGTGAAAATTTTCGAATCTCAGTTTTCAACGGAAATACTTGTTTTGAGGTCCCCTGAGTCCAAATAACCAAGTGTCGCAAAATGCCCAATTTTCATATGCGTCTTCCTCTAAAGTACCTTTAATATGGTTTATTTTAAATAATCAATTATCTCTCATTATTAAAAGTTATGAAAAAAAGCTAAATATAACTTTTGAAAGAATTTGATAATTGAATAAAGGAAAAAAAATAATAAAAATGCTTATCCAGGTCGAAAATGAATCTCTGGAAATACTAGTCCAAAGATATACGTATAATATATCGTTGGAAAGCGGAGAATTTTAGAAAAAACAATATCGAATATAGAAAGTAGTAAAAGGAAGCGGAGATTGGCAAAAAAAATATAAATAATATTTTTTGAAAACTAATAATATTTAGCGTAAATTACATATTTCCAAGGAAATTAAATGAAATTTACTAGCTAAATGCAACCTTTTAAAATATTTTTAAGTTTGAAAGGAATATTCAAAATCCACCTAATAAAGGCAATGAAATTTTTGAAATAACTATTTCATTGCACTTGTGTGAAAGAAGAAGTAAAATATAAAATCATTTCATGCATACGTTTATAACCTTAAGTATATTTACTGTAGTTTAATAATTGTATTACAATCCATAATCAATTGATCGTGCAATACATGGTATTTA